AGGCTACCAGCATCCACACCAAGGTACTTCTTTTGGCCAGTAATGAAATCAGAAGCAGCAGAGACTAAATCTTGACCACTACATATGTATGTTAATTTTGGAAAAACAGTCGACCTGTCACAAAAATGGTTTCAGACATTTATTTTCCTGATGATTAAGAGCTAAGTGATGTGGATTCCACAAGTACCATGGCAAGTGGCTCAGACAAAGAGGGTCACTGAATGAACATAAATTACATTTTTAGACAAAGATGACAATGGTCACTACCCTTGAAAAGGCAGAGTGATGGAGAGTGACAAGAAGATTGCCTCAAGAGTGACACAAAAGAAAAGATGCCTGTTAATTTGTTGCCAATGATCTGACCAATGGTTTTTTTTAAGTAAGAAGTATTTGATTGAAAGAAGCTGCACCCTAAGAATGAACCTGGTGTCTGGTTGAGCTACATTACCTCTTGTTATGCCCTGAATGAACTCTCAATCTCCCATGACTGATATATGATACCCCAGAATGAGCAAATAGTTGAACCATGTAAATCACAGGAAATTAAAACTCTTTTACTCATCTCAAGCATATATTATCTCCATTTTTTGTTTTGTCACATTCAAATTTATTCTTGTTAAAAGTATTCTTCCATACCCCTGTTTGCTATTAATATGTCAATGATGTATGCAAAAATGAAAGATAATGGTCTCAACACATCTTTGAAATGACTAAGCTGTATTTCTTAAACCAAACAGAACCCTGCTGAATTTGAATAAGCCAAAAGAAGTAGTGATAGCCATCTTGGGTATATCACTTTTTTCAACAGAAATTTGGTAATACACCTTTATTAAATCAAATCTGGTGAAATATTCTAGATAGCAGCCTCTACACACCTGGGATGTTCAATCCTTTCTGATTTTACAGATAGAATTTCCCCTTCATATAGTAAATAGGTAGAGACAACCAGATGAAAAACTAACTCCTTAAGGTGTGTATTATTCTTAGCTCCTAAAAACTCAAGAATCACTATCCAATCAAACCATGACACTTTGCAACTTGAATTTAGTGGGGTTTTGACATTAAATCTGAGCCTATATTTTAAAGTTTTGCCACAGAAACCATCTGGCTTCATTTTGTCATTAGCCTCCCCACACTTAAAAAAAATCAGTACTTGTGGGTTATCCATTGTCACTTTTTAAATTAATTTTCCAAATTTTTCACAAATACAGATGAGTAAAAATATACTATTTGTTTCTTAAATTATATTTATTTCTCTAAATAAAAAAGCATTAATTGCATTATTCAGTTGGCCTGAATGCGGCGATAGCCTCTCTCATGTAAATGTTCTAGTTGATCACACAATTATTGCTAATTCCCAGTTTGGCTTGCACAATTTGAAAGAGGATGTTTCCTAGCACCAGGCATATATGAAATGAAACACAGTGACTAAGTTAAGGCATGTGTTTGGCAACCAGTTCCTGGTGTGGAGTCCACTTTGCTGCTTGCAGTTCTTTGCATTACACTTTCAATAGATCCTGGAACCAAAGCCGAGCCATTTTTGCAGTGTGTTCATTTCAATCCTTAGGAATGACTGCAAAACTCTTGCCCCTGCCCAATTTATAGGTAGAAGCACACAAATACATACTGGGATTTTACCTAGCCACTAAAATAGGCTAGTTCTCAGTTTCATCTGACTCAGTCCCAGTCTGTTTTGTCTTGAAGTCAGAATGCTACGTTTATGTATTTGAACTTGATTTTGTGTGTCAATACCAATTCTTAGTTTGTTAACTTTTTGCCATATTACTGTTGATTTGCCTTGAATATATTTCTTTGTTTGTTTTTCTTAACTTTTCTTTTTCTTGTCATTGTATTGTGATTGTGAGATACTGTTTGGTTGGGGTTTAGGCCTTGAATAGATTAACCCCCACAATAGAAGAGACATGAAATAAAATAAATCAAGTATTATAAACAACATAAGTTTTATATTTCAAAATACAATTTGTTAAAGTTGGTGGTAAATATTCTTTGAAGAATATATGTAAAGGTTGTTTCATCAAGACGGATTATATATAAGGGTGTTTCATTAAGACGGATCAAAGTCAGCAGTAAATAAATCAGTGTTATTGGTGAAAAATTATTTATTTCTCTATTGTATCATGTTATTTAAATCATAGCAATTATGTGTGAAAAATAATATCGCCCAAATGTCTGCCAAATCTGAAAGAAAAAGAAAAAAATCATTAGATGCTTAAACTTAATTCACATTAAAATTGGTCCAAGTTATTGGAACACCCTTTATATGTAAACAAAATCAATTAATCCAATTAAAGAGACAAGTTAAAAGAATTAAGTTTAAGATAATATAAAATTTGTGAAAAGTACTTAAGTGTTCTTTGATGTGAGAACTTCTTTGGGTTGATGTGTGAGGAGGTGAGAGAGGTAAGAGGGTGCAGGAGGTGAGGGAGGTAAGCGGTCGCTGGAGTTGAGATTCCTTTGATCTGGTCTGTCCTCTTTGGAGTTTGTTTTCCCCTCCCAGTTTTAATTGAAAAAGAGGTCTCCTTATACTTGCTTTTGGGATCAAAAAGGCTCAGCCGAAATCATACTTATTATAAACCCAGGTTGTGTGTGTGTGTGTGTGTGTGTGTGTGTGTGTGTGTGTGTGTGTGTGTGTACGTTTATATATTGGATCGGATTTGCTACATTTTTCATCCGATTTCAACAAAACTTCACAGGACTACGTAAAATTATCTTGCAGTGGTTCTGACAGCACCAAAAATCGGAAAAACACAATTGTTTTTGCACGAAATCAATTTGAAAACACGATTAAGAGGCATCATGAGAATGAAAGGGGGACAACTCGTATCAAGTTATACTTATTATAAAACCCAGGTTGTTTGTGTGTGTGTGTGTTCATTTATATATGGGATCGGATATCCTACATTTTTCAACCGATTTCAACAAAACTTCACTTTTTTTGGCAGGTAGTGTTTCTTATTGTCTTGCACACTTTTTTCTTTATTTTTACATTCAGAATACTTTAAAAATTCCATTTACAAGGCAATTGTTTATTCTATTTAATCGATAGACTCATAATGATTGAAAACAATGTTTTTGTTTGAGTTTGACCAATTCGTAAAAAACAAAACAAAAAAACTAATTAAGACATGTGTGTCCGTCAACCTTAAACAATATAATCTTTGTCAATTTTATTTTTCAGTCTTTATGATGGTCGATACTTGATCTATCTCTTACTGTTACGTCCCCGGGCAACGCCGGGCTCTACTGTTAGTCATTTATTATTTGGGCGCGAACGCTTTTGACTGCCTAAGACTTTTATTTATTAGAATTTCTTATTTAGTCATTTTTAACCGGAACAAATGCGTGGAGCCTCATGCGCATAAACCAGTTTATGACATTAGCTCTTTGAATGTCTTAAGGTTAACACCCGGTTCTCTGAGTTTATTTAGTATCATTACAATGGCAAATTTCTGTTAATACTGTTTGTTGGACACTTCTGTTACTTATTTTGCATTTGACCATGACTACTCACTCCACGCAGTGCTTTACAGTTGGAAGGTCCCAAAGATTCATTTAGCAGTCTGAAAAAATACAATATTTAACTTTATAAAAAGTGGTGACAGATAACCAATAAGTACCAAAAAAATCTTTACACATCATATTTTAATATTCATGTTTTTCTTCTATAAACCGTCCGGTTTCATTTTAGTGATTTCTTTTTTTCAAAGAAACCGTGTTTGCAACATTATAATTTTCTTAGCTTTTCATACAATTTAGTATTTTATGTTTTAATTTTTACACATTCCAACATTTTAATTATTTTTTTCATACAATTTTAAATATCTTTTTTTTTTATTAATATATTTTTTTATAAGAACATTACTAACAGCTACTAAGTGTGGGAAGTTGTGGAAAACCATAATGTCCTACGTCCTGAAGGGACGTAGTACATAGAAGAAGAAATAATTTGTTACAGTGTAACCTGGGTATAAGGGAGTTGTCGGGACCGGAGAAGAAGTCTCTTATATCCGGGTTTCTCTTATATCCGGGTTTGGTCTATTTTGTTTAGGTAACACAGGCTCTAATTTGGGACCAGAGAACATCTCTCTTATATCCGGGTCTCTTATATCCGGGTTACACTGTATTACCTTCTACAGTCCCATTAGCCGATTTTTCTCACAATTCCGTGGAAAAAAAAGGTTTATTAACTTTTAAGTTCGTTGTTTTTACATTTTTAAGTCGCTTCTTTTAAAATTTCCAAATTTGCAAGTGTTGGACGTCCGTTCAAAAGCTAAATGCAAAGTACAGAAATCCACTTTCTTTCTATGATTCATCGCTACTTAATATTCGGTGTGGGAGAAAAGGATTGGTTCGTTAGAGAGAGAAATATAAACAGATGTACGGACGTGTAGCCACTTGTGCGGTTATTTATCTTATAGATACAAAATAAACAAAGAAGAAAAGAAAATATAAATCCATTGTAAATAGCCAGTGTTGTAGCACGTGTACATGACTCAACCATTTAAATTGCACTGGTTACAACATATGTCGTGGCTATAGCAGTTTTGATTTCGATTGGGATGGCAGAGTTATAAGGATTATATTTAATTTTAATATATATGTATATATATATATATATATAGATAGATAGACCAGGAGGTTTTAAACTAAATTGTCATTTTAAAAGTGGTTATGACATGAACGAGAAAGAGGGCGGGGGCAAAAAAAAAGTTAGAGTTTATTTTGGAACAAGATCACAACAACGGAACAATTTGTAAGGATTAAACTAGCCAGATTGAACTATCTTTCTAACTATCGCACTGTTTCAGGAGCCATATATATATATATATATATATATATATATATATATATATATACAGAGAGAGAAAGAGAGAGATAAACAACAGACTGAGATAGATAGATAGATAGATAGATAGATAGATAGATAGATAGATAGATAATGAACAGAGATGGAAAGAGAGAGAGATAAATGAACAGAATCAAATAGAATGGGGAGAGATAGAGAGACATAGATAGATAGATAGATAGATAGATAGATAGATAGATAGATAGATAGATAGATAATGAACAGAGATGGAAAGAGAGAGGAGAGGGAGATGAACAGAATCAAATAGATAGGGAGAGAAAGAGAGAGAGACATAGATAGATAGATAGATAGATAGATAGATAATGAACAGAGATGGAAAGAGAGAGGAGAGGGAGATGAACAGAATCAAATAGGGAGAGAAAGAGAGAGAGACATAGATAGATAGATAGATAGATAGATAGATAGATAGATAGATAGATAGATAGAGAGATAGATAGATAGATAAAGTCTTTATCTATCTATCTATCTAAAGAACAGACATAGTGTTGTGGCCTTGTTAGGGCCATAAATAAAGACATAAAGAGAAGAATTGAGTTAAACAAATATACTGAGAGAAACAGTAATACAAACATGTACAAACGAGAGTGTTACAGCAAGAATGTTCGGTCCAACTGTCAGAGCTGACTGGTAGAAACATCCCTCTCCAAAAGGCAGTATCTGCTCCTATTTATAGCTGGGAGAGTTCATATGTGCATGGGTAAATTACCATAATAGATAGATAGATATGTGGTGGAGATGTCCTAATTAACTATTTTTTCAGGTCATAAATGTTAGAAAAGTAAGGTTGCATAGGTGAATTAGCTATTTCCGCACACATTTTAAACTTCTTCATTCCACAACATTGAGAAAACATAGATAGGACACAAACAACAAATCTCAGATAACAACAACAATAAGAATATTTTATATAACATAAAATACACAAAAAATCTGTTGATTAGTGAATGAGAGATTCGGTTAGTTGATTTTAAATTAGCTTTTTAAACTCTTATAATGTTCAGTGTCATGTGAAGTTGGAATTCACCGAAGTGAATGTTTTGACTTATATAATATGTGAAATTTTGATAGAATTTGTTATTAGATAAACTTGTTTAAATTGAATTTTAAACATTTTGTAAAACAGTTTCTGAAATGAAATTCGTAATGTAAGAGTTTAGAAGCAAAAGCTGCCTGCCTTTGATGATATGTTTGTGTGTGTCAAAGATTGCATAAAACATATCTTACAAGAATTCTGGAAGGGAGTTTGTTCTTCAATCAAGAATTAAACTTGACAAACAACAAATTCCGGTGTAAGAATGTTCTGTAGATTCAGTCAAAAATCAATACTGTGGTTGAGAAGTTTTCAGTAAGTATTAAATGAATCCAGAAGAAGTTGGTGAGTGAGTGAATTGAATATTTTAACTTGAATTACAATGAAAGTGTTTTTGTGTTGAAGAAATTGAAATTCTAACTTTGCACTTCAATGATACAAGCATCATAGACTAGCTTGGCAATTGCTAGTCATGTAAAAATGCTCACTGACTAGGTTTGCTCATTTATTGAATTTATTTGTTTTCTAATCACGTGATAGGCTCATGAACACGTTTAGAAATTTTTGCATTCAACTCACTTTAAACACTACTGCGTGGGTGTTGTTGCCATTTTTTTATATATATTAACCAATAGCAATAGCATTTACAAAAAAACAATTTGGATCCACCTCGTGTTTAGGATGTATAAAATTTGTTATCAGCAAGAGTAAATACACAGTAAATCTACTTGAATATATTATCCAATGAAATTCACTAAATCAGAATAATATGATAATTAGATACTGGAACTTGGTGTATAGAAGTTAAACTCTATAGATAGATAAAGAACAAACATAGATAGAGAGAGCGAACAGGCTGAGATAGATAAATAGATAGATAGCTAAAGAACAGACATAGATAGATAGATAGATAAAGATAAAAGACATAGAGAGAGAGAACAGGCTGAGATAGATAGATAGATAGATAGATAGATAGATAGATAGATAGATAGATAGATAAAGAACAGGCATAGATAGATAGATAAAGAACATACTGGGATAGATAGATAGATATAGATAGATAGATAGATAGATAGATAGATAGATAAAGCACAGACTCAAATATATAGATAAATAGTAAATAGATAGATAAATAGATAAATAGCAAGTCGAATTAGTTAAATAAGGTTAAATTGGTAGCTGATCTAAAAATGACCTACAATCTGTTGTTAAACGGGGTAAGGAATGGCTTGTCAATTTTGATGCCTCAAAAACGAAATTGCTCTCTTTTAATCATCTGACAGAACCCTTTTTATCTTCCATAATGCTAGCCTCCAGGAAGCTCGCATCATTGTAACATCTTGGACTAATGTTTTCAGGTGACATGAAGTGGAATGAGCATCTTGAATCAACTGCTCAGTCTGCAGCTAAGAAAGTTGGATTATTGTGTCGTGCCAAACAATTTTTCTCACCAGAAACTATCTTACATATTTATAATTCTACAATTCATCCTTGCTTTGAATATTACCGCCACATCTGTTCTGATACTCTTGCTATATATTTAGAGATTCTTGATAAAATCCAAAGAAAATTCTCCAATGTTATTGGTTCTAACCTGGCATCTCAGCTTCAGTGCTCCATTATATTTCATTTCTGCTGAAAGAGTTATTCACCTGGAAATATATATCTTAAATATTTAGTATTTAGTCCCACACCAGTATGTAGATTTGTATTATATAAGTGTGCTTGCAACAAGACTTAAATATTTAAACATTCTGCTTCTATAATGAACATGCCTTTCCTTTAATTGTACAAATAGTATTTATTCTTAATACAAACTCTCTACTGCGTGCTGATTCACGCAACTGCTGGACAAGACCTGGATCTAGCTTAGTGGCATACCTAGGTTGTCTGGCACTGATTTAGACTTACCTATGTATAGGTCTACAAGACAAAACTCAACACTTTTCTCAACTTGAACAATTAAAAAGCTTATCTATTCATATATTAACAAATTATCAATACATGGTAATTAGTACTACATCATAAATTCATAATTTTAAATATTTACTACATGCTTACTGTACAAGTGTTCAATATTATGATTGAATCACTGCTTCAATCACAAAAATTCTATGTTCTGGGTTCATGTACAATGTATAAATATACCCAATAAACATGACATTACTATTAATTGCTACTACAGTAGGTCAAATATGTAGCTAGTTGCAATAACTGCAGCCCTATTCTTCTGTGTCCTTCCTTTAATTGTACAAAGAGTATTTATTCTTAATACAAACTCTCTACTGTGTGTTGATTCACACAACTGCTGGACAAGACCTGCATCTAGCTTAGTGGCATAGCTAGGTTGCCTGGCATTGATCTTGCCGCATCTATGGATAGGTCTACAAGACTACATTTAACATTTATCTCAACTTGCACAATTAAAAAGCTTATCCATTCATATATTCGCAAACTATTAATACCCAGTGTGACACTATGTGACACTGGCAAACAAAAAGAAAAGGGTTAAAACTAAAATGTAACTTGGAACAAAACAAAAAGTGTTAAAGAATGGAACGATAGACTGAGAGAAAGAATCAAAATTTCTTTTAATTTTAAAAGTCTATTTTTTTTAAGAGATGGCTTGAAGAAGGTAACCTTTTGGAAAGATATTACCACAGAGGCCATCTGGTAAATCTGAGCTGACAATTGATTGATGGTGCTTCCTTAAAATGAAAGAAAACAGCTCCTAGGAATCAGCCATGAAAGAAAGCCATTTGAAGAGATAATATTTGGTAATTTTTAAAGACAAGACAAAATTAAAAAACTGATTCATTTTGCCTATCAAAAAGTGGAAATTGTAAACAAGTCAAGAAAATAGAATTTCTTTATGCAAGGATCCAACTCTGGGTTCTTAAAGTGCAATGACTCTAACAAGATGGGGAGATAAGCTGATTGGACGAAACAGTTGGTAAATTTCCCATTGTATAAACAAGATCAGGCTGGGAAAAATTTGCTGATGAAAAATTATAATGATATTTCTAATTAATGACCAGAAACTAATCCATGTCATGTGCTTTGAGAATCAGATTTGTCAAAGGGACAACTGAGGTGACGGGCATAGGTGAAATACCAAGAAGGACGGAGGAATTGCTTGCGCCCATTGGGAGGTGTTGGTACGAGGCATAAATAAGAAAAGAAAGGAGTTATTGGGGTGGATCGATACCTGTGACCACTGTCCATAGGAAAAGGGATCTCTCCAAATTTGGAAATATAATTAATTTTCCAGAGCCAGATAACAAAGGGTTATTTTTAGAAAATAGGGGGAAAACCAGGCCTCCTAACCACATCAGTCCCCATGCCAGTTTTGGGTGAAAGTCAATATAAGCAGAACACTGAAGTGACCATAAGAGTTCCAGAGACAACAGTACTAGAGTGCAGACGACAAGGGACAACTACTCTGCCAAATCCCATGTGACTTGCTGCCAAAGAGAACCTTCGACTTAAGCCTTGTTCCAGACATAGCTAAACTGAACAAAGTGTCACAATAGAATTCACTGTGGGAAGGGTTAATATTTCTGTACAAAGAACAATATAAGCCACATAGAAATAGAATCTGAAGAAATTTTCTTTTCTTTATTTTGTCTGCGAGAACATTTTTATTTTTCCTTTGTGACATACCTTCACCAGGATTGAACCAGTGCTACAAATGCTGACATCAACTCAATCTTTGCCAACACAATGTGGGGCCGAGTTGGGCAGAGATCAGAACAACCAACTCCAATTCCCAGTGACAGCATTGACTAGGGACCGACCAGTGAGAAGTATTATGCTGGTAATTAGTACTGTATCATAAATTCTTAAAATAACCACTACATGCTTACTGTACAAGTATTCAAAGATGTGATTGTATCTCAGATTCAATAATCATGTGATTGCTATTGATAGTACTACAATAGGTGTAATGTTATTTCTTCTTTTTTCATATTTGCATTAATGTTTAAATCAAAATATGTAGCTAGTTGCAATATCTCTGATTTTTTTTAATAAGTGAAATTCTTCATGCAAATTGGATGAAAAAAGAAATTCTTCAACAGAAAACAACACTTTTAAACAACCACAAACACAGTTTTATCCAAAAAATATCTGAAGAAAAATATGAATTACTTTCTTTGTAGTTTTTGTAAAATGAACATTGAAAGAGAAAATTATTTGTTTTAATTAAGACAGTTGAATTGCTGTTTTTGTTTTAAAATAACATCAAAGCTTAGGACAAGCCCCCATTTTGTCACAGTTGTGACAAAAAGAAAAAAAAAGAAGATCTAGCAAAGGTGAAAGAAAAGAAGAATAAAGAAATACTATAAATGCTAGAGTTTTATAACAATAAAAATAATATATTTACAAAAGTAAAAATATTATAAATATATTACAATTAAACATTCAAAACAATATTGATTCAGTCTAATGGAAATTTAAGAATTAAATCAAACCAGAGAAAAAATAAAAGATAATATTGTCTCCAACAGAAAGCCAACAGTCATGCTCATGTGGCCCCAGGCAAGTGCTTATTGGGACCATGCATTAAGACTGCTCTGCACACCAGACATAGAGCACATTTTCTTTTTTGGATTTCCTTTAGGTTGAGATGCTGAAGCCACTCTTGCCTGTAGCCATAATTTTCTTCATTCTGGATTTAGATAATAAATTCATTTCTATCAGTGACTCTCTAATGTAAAAATGACATTTTGTTGTTGAGTAAGAAGAGAAAAACAAATTTTTAAATAATGATTGATGTTCCTTTTTATAAGTTCATCTACAACACATGTTCTCAGCTTCTCAATTTCTTCTAAGGCTTGTAAATGAGTTACATCATTTAATAGATTGCACAAGTAAAGTAAACTTCAAAAACATTTCTAAGATTTTTGCATATGTACAAAAAAAGTGGCTCTGATAATTTTGCATCAAATTATAAAATATATATATGTATATATATATATATACACACCAGGTTTAACAGCAAAACTGTCTAAATTGTGTAATAGCATAATTGTCCAGCCCACAAAATCTTTAATATCTAAAAATCTACTAAACTAATTGAGTTTCTTTTTCCAAGTTTTCAGATAAAACATTTAGCCATCTTGATACCATTTGTTGTAAGAAGCACTGAAAAATCTTATGAGTTATTCAGCTAGAATGAGAACAGGTTAAAATTGTTTTGTGTCAGACCACTGTCTTCTCAAATGAGCAATGGTGAGAGGAAAAAGATCATTTAAACTTTCACTAATGGTACCAACATTCATACTTTGGCTTCCATCTTCAAAGTACATTTGAGAACCATAAAAAAAATGGTGAATAAGTTTAAAAATATTGGAACAGTGGAGAGGAAAACTGGGTCAGGTGATCACAACAGGAAGAGGGATCATCATTTCAACTTAGAGTTAAAGAGATCAATTAGAAAAATCCAATTCAATCCATAAGACATTTGCCATGTGAGGGAGGAGTTTCACTTATGACAGTCTAAAGAGCAGTGAAAAAAAGACTTGGAAATGAAATCATACATGAAACATGAGGCACCTTGTTACACCAGGACAGAAAGTTAGAAGCTTAGAGAGGGAGATCATCATCTTGAATCAGGTGAAAAATTATCCTGAAATAATATAAATAATATATATATATATATATATATATATATATATATATATATATGAACTTAATTTCAATCCTTCATGAGCTTCCAATCCTTAGCTATGATTAATTAATGATGAACATGCCATTTTTGTTTATGATTGATTTCATCATGATTCTTCTATTATGCTTGGAGAGTAATTATACATTCTTATTACTCAAAGTAGATTCCAGTAGTGTTATAAAACTTTGGAGAATTCCACTAATATATCTTTAATCATTTCTAAGACACAACAGTTTAAAGTTTAATCTAACAAATGGACAATTTTGCTTTTTACACAATTTGGACAATTTCGCTTTTATACCTAGTATATATATATATATATATATATATATATATATATATATATATATATATATATTATGCACTGTTACATTAGAACATGTATATACCCACTACAAAAATGTACATTTTGTTTCAATGTTAAAAAATTAACAGTGCATAATAAATAAATATTTATTGCTCTGCTTTTGTATTGAGCACTGTTTTAAATTAATGTTTTGAACACTGAAATCTTACTCTTTGTTCTTTTACATTTGGAGATTATATATATATATATATATATATATATATATATATGGTTATTCAGAAAGAAAGAGCAAATTTTGAAAATTTAATAAAAACAAATGCTAGGAGAAAGAAGCACATTCAACACATTACTAGATAGGAAAAGTTTCAGAGTTATTAAAATATATTAAATTTTTTTCAATCTTGTTTAAATGCTTCTTTTTGTTGAATATGTGAAGTCAATATCCACAGATCAATTGATTCAAGTATGGCAAGAAGTGGAATACTGTTTTGATATTTGTCACACAATACATGGTGCTCACGTTGAACAACATTAAAATAATAAACTTTGGTAAGCAAGTAAATAAACTACAAGTTCTTCTTGAAAAACTCTGGCTATGACCTAGTGGCCCAAATCTCAGCATTTATCACTTTAGCTGAAAACAGTGCTCTATTGTAAAGTTCCTGTTGTTGAATCCTTGTTGAATCCTTTGAAATTGTTTCTTTAACTAAACCATGTGAAAGGAAAGTGTAATTTTCAGCTGTTGAACTCCAAGCAGTTCCTGTTCCTGTAGAATAATGATAATAACTCCAAAGTCAGTCCTTGAGTATCTGATTCAATTGTTATGTAACAAATCATACTCAGTTGGGTAAAAGAGGTGTGGCAAATTCCAGAACGGAGATTTGAAGCCCATGGTATAGCATAATCTGGAAGTGGGGGGACTCAATGGTATCAACTCTTGAAACTATTAACCAGGTTCATACCTTAATTTTCGTCAGTCAATGAATCTTGTCTAAAAGAATTACCAAGACACAAGAAATATTCAGGGAAAGTAAGAGGTTTCATGAGTAGTTACATACACAGAAGCTGTCAATCAAATGGGTGGCAAAACGATTGAATTTCAACAAGAAAAAAATGTCAGAAATCTACTGATAATTTTTATGGTATGACTTGTCAATATTGATGAAACTTGGTTGCACTGTTAAAATTCATAGAATAAACAACAGTTTATTCAATGGTAACACTTGGGTTCACCCTGAGTGAGGAAATTTTAGACCCAAAAGTTGTCAAGAAAGGCAAACATAACCTCATTTTATGGGAAAAATTGGACCTTCATGCCTGCAAAAAATGGTGCATCATAAGAATGATTTTTTTTTCATTGACACTTATTATTTTAACTGTCTTCACTCCACAGCAATATTTATTATTTTAAAAAGTGATGTTTAGAATTGTAATAAAACTTAAACATATGAAAGTGAATTTATACATTTTCTTTGTTCTTGAGAATTGACAACAAAAATAATAAACACTATTTATCTATTAGATTTATTATTTATACTATTTATTGATTATATTGTTTATTGGAATGATTTGCAAAACATTGGTTAATTTCCAATTGACTTGAACTTTATAAAGTGGTAAATAAGTATTTCCTTATAGTCGGTTCACATATTAAATGTTTACAAATAAAAAATTGTTTTCATATTTATTTCTTTATAAATTGGTAAATGATAAATATTGTATTGCATTATTTTTAATTGTATTAGTTTTTAGAATGTTGTAAAAACTACCCTTGTAAATAAACAATATAATAAATAAAGTGTTTAATATTTTTGTTGTAAATTCTCAAAAACAAAAAAAATGTATAAATTGATTTTTATCATATGTTTAAGTTTTATTGTAATTCTAATCATTGCTTTTTTAAACAATAAACATTGCCAAGAGGTGAAGGTAGTTAAGATAATAGTGGTATCAATGAAAAAAGTGTCCTTATGATATTCTGTTTTTTTTTTTTTTGTTGACATGAAGATTTTGCCTATTTTTATTTATTTGTTTTATTTTGCTTGTTTAAGGAGGGAAATTTGATAACTGTCTGGCTATAAACATACAATGTGACTCTCACCTAAGCTTTTCACCAACCAGCCAATGATTACACGATGCTGCATTTCAATCCTCAATCTCATCAGTGTGCACTGAAAGCTGGGAAAGGACTCAATGCATGCTCACTAGATAACAAGATGAAAGACAAACGCTATATAGAGAAACAAAAACATGAACCCTGTTTTCCATATTAGATGTAGATGTTTTATTTAGGGCTTCACCTGTTTATTCCCTCTACCAACTTCTTTCCCATTTTATTATTCCAACATGGCGGCTGGCAATATGAATATAGGCTGTGGAACCACATGACAGACAAGTCTATCTCCAGCCAAGGGAAAATCAGAACTACTCCCAATCTCAAGCATGACTCTAAATAGAAACCAGAATCCAGATAGACCCCATTTCCAGTTTTGTTGCCACTTGATATCCAAAATCCTCTAATCTGCTCTTTCCCATTCCACATTGGCCAGAGTGGATGCCACCTAGAAGACCGAACTTCATTCAAAAGGAACCATCTGCTGATCCATCAAACAGAAACACTTGAGATCAAGAAAAAAACCAGCTCTTATCTTTCTATGTGGGTATTCACAGTACCACATATCTTCAGAAAGAGTTGCAAACAGTTTATGCAGAATACTATTCTAACTTGCTGTTCTGATTAAACAAAGCATTTGTTCTATAGTGCATATGGTTGTAAGAATAATAGACAAAAAACAACAATGTATTGCCTGTGAATCAGAAAGAAAAAGAAACAAGATATGTTTAAATGATTTGTATTTTACTAATGTATACATTGGATCAAGGTAAAATATCTCTTATAGGCGAGTGAGGCAAATGCTTGTACATGAAGGAGTTTGATCTTTGCAGATGGATAAATTGGTTGTGTACTGGCCTTGTGTTGAAGCATACATGAAGTCAGTTGAGTGAGAGGTGGTTGTGAACTAACTTGAGTCTGTTTAAGCAGTCTGGGTGGATATATGACTCTACATTTTTTGCTTTAGCAACAACATTCATGATTTCTTTTTATATTTGTTTTGTGAGCCGGATTTGTGAACTTTTATTTTTAATTTTATTTTTGTCACATTCACCTCCAGCCAACCGGTTCTGATATGGAGTGAATCAGAAAGAGTTTGAATTTGAATCAAAATATAATACATTGAAAGCAAAAAATGGCAAATTTTTTTTTTATATTATAATGAACCTGCATGCAGGTTGGCAAGACAATGGCTGTTTTGAAGAAATTAGGGTTTGAGCAAGAAACAAATGCTAAGGCTGTCAAATGAAAAAATTAAAAATTGACAAGTTTACTTTCTTAAATAATGACCTACCTTTATACTTATGATTGTTATTGGAATAAGTTTTGAAGTTCAAGTATTTAATAATGTAATTTCCATGGCTATTTCATAGTTGTGGACATTGAAAGGAACATATTTAAAATATTAATAATCATGACTCCTTAACAACCAGACAAA